TAAAAGATTTACAAGAGAATTTATTAAAGAAAGTTTTATTTTCCAAGACAATTGAACGTATAATGGATGTGAATAAAGGACCTATAATGAGTGAACAGATTACCAATTATTTAAAAAATTTAATTGTAGACATAGAAAATAAACCAAATGATTATGTTTCATTGAATAAAAGTTGGATCAAAATAAATATTGGAATTGTTGTAACAACAAAATTATTTGGCACCTGTGATAAAAGATTAATTAAAAGAGTGCTTGAAAATAATAAAAAATTTTATGCTGTAAATTTAATTGGAAATGTCATATGGATTCCCAGTAAATTTTTAAGTGATTTTTTGCCAAAAGAAGCTGGTAATGCTGTTGGTCAACAAGTAGGAGAAAGAATACTATGTTTAAGGATACAAAAACTTTCCCAGACTGTGAATGGATTAATTCAGAAAGCAGTAACATGGTGCATTGAAATGCAAAGTATTTTAATGAAAACAAGTCTTCAGATTTCAGATATTGGGCAGAAACAAACTTTATTAATTGATTTAGTTGCATTGTTATCTCAGATTAAAGAATTTGTATCTTTTATAATAAATATGCATGCGATTCTTATTAAACCAATGAATCGTAACACTGTTCAATTAATTTGTAGATTAATAGAAGTACAAAAGTCTTTGCAGACTACATTTTACATATTGGGACCAGTTATAGTGCAATCACAAAGTCAAGTATTACAATACTTGAGTTATTATATTTTAATTACATTGGAAACTGCTCGGAAGAGTTTAATTCAGAAGGATAAAGGTTATAGCAGAGAAAAATTGGATGCATTGTCACTAGTGGGTTTAAGTATGAGATTATTAAATGGACCACCAAGTGCAGATAGAAGATTAATAATCAGATGTGCTCTAGCATGTGCTAGTCAATTAACAGATACTTTTAAGGAAGAGGACATGGTGAAATTGAGATTCTCATTGAACAATTACGATATTGTTGCTGAATTGTATAATATTATTACAGATATCTGTGATTACTCTATATTACTATATCATCAGAATATAATTCCGGCTTATTTTTCTTCTGTAATAGATAGTAATTTAAGTATAAATCACATAGTTCATTTGTTTAATGCATTTAACAGCACCATTAGTGAACAAGAAGGATTAAATTTAAAACAGAAAAGAATTATGCAATTAAGAGAAATGTTGACTAAGAATATATTAGAACCTGTTTGTCATGAGATTGAAACTAATCTAAGACTTCATGTCCATGCACATTTAAAATTGGATTCTACAAATCCATTCAATATTGGGGCAAAAGATGGTGGAAGAATCGTACGATCATTACCACTACCTTTAACAAATAGTATGATATACGCTAAAAGATTCATTGAACATTATCTTGATGATATGTTTTACAATCTCACTACAGTAGCACTACATGATTGGAGAACATATAGAATGATGCATGCTTTGGCACATTATAAATTAAATCTAGATACTGTACAAAACTATTTACCTACACAGACCTTGGAACAGGGCTTAGATGCTTTAGAAATTATGAGAAATATTCATGTATTTGTATCAAAATATTTATATAATTTAAACACTCAAACTTTCATTGAACATACTAGTAACAATAAACATTTAAATACCATTGGAATTCGACATATAGCAAATTCTATCAGAACACATGGAACTGGTATTATGAGTACAACAGTTAACTTTGTATATCAATTCCTTCGTATAAAATTACATACATTTTCACAATTCCTATTTGATGAACATATAAAGTCGAGATTAATGCGAGATATAAGGTTCATCAAGGTTCAAAGAGAAAATGGTAGAACGCCTTATACATATGAAAGAGCAGAAAAATTTCAGAAAGGGATCAGAAAATTAGGTATGACACCTGATGGTTTAAGTTATTTAGATCAATTTAGACAATTAATAACTCAAATCGGAAATGCATTGGGGTATGTACGATTAATTAGATCTGGTGGATTGCATGCTAGTTCAAATGCTATTTCATTTCTGCCAAACATTGATTCATCTGTACCATTTGAATTAATGTGTAAAAATTTACGTTATGGTGTAACAACTCAATCAGCAGCAAAGTGTTTAGAAAATAATATTGCAAATTTAATACGAAACTTTACAGAAGGAATACAATACTTCAAACTTCTTGTTGATGTATTTGCATCTGCTTTTCGAGATACTGAATCACATCATTTGCAACAATTTTATGCTATTGTACCTCCATTAACATTAAGTTTTATTGATAACTCAATATCGAATAAAGAAAAAATGTTTAAGAAAAATCAAACAGGTGCAGCTTTTACTGATGATGGTTTTGCAATGGGAATTGCTTACATAAATGCTCTTTTAAATCAGTCATCAGAATTGGATAGTTTACATTGGTTCAAAACAGTTGAACAGCATATAAATGCTGAACAGCAGGCTGCAGAAAGTAAAAATGTTCAAGGAGATGAAAAATTGCAACAAACAAGAGCATTAACATTAAAACGCTTAGGTGAAAGAAGTGCTGAATTCCAATTGCTCTATTATAGTTTGTCTGGCGCTAGAGTATTCTTTAAACAGTCTGATATGTAATATTCCACAATCTGTAAAATGTATTATGGAATTAATTAATTACAATGTGATTGTTAAATATTTTTGTTTCATATTTCTTATTACTATTGTATAAAGAATGTCAAATTATATACTGTATAATACTATTATGTGCTTTATAAAAAATAGCTTTAAAACACTTTATATGCTATAAATTTACTTTATTTTCGTAATCCTTTTGTAACTTGTATTATATATATATATATATATATATATATATATATATATATATA